GTGTTTATATTTAAGTTATCCGCGAATATATGTGTGTGTTATAGGTTAGTTCATAAGTGTTGACGAACGTCGAAAAGTGATACAATAATTGTTCTTTGTGTGATTAATTATCTAAATATGTGAATGAATGAGTGGATTTCAGAAAAACTGTGAACAAGTGGAAATTATTTTTTTTATTTTACAGAAATATACAATTTTTTTGAAAGTCAATGAAATTCTCAAGCAAGGTACCTACTAGAAATTTTCATTGACTGCTTTTGAAACTCTCATGCAAAAGTACTAGACTGTTTTTAGTATTTTGTGTCGTATCCAAAAGTCAAGTACCGAGTCAATGAAAATTTCACGTACTTTTTTTTCCGTGTATAAAATTGATAACATTTAATTATTACTAAATAGTAATAATGAACTAATCAATTATTATTTAATAGAAATTAATTAATCCACTATTATTTAATAATTTTACTGTTATTATAATTATTATTTAATAATTCAAAATATAAATTTATTTTTAGAGAAAAAATGATTTTGCAGAACTCACAGCAAAATAGCCTGGTGGTAACGTGCTTTACTTTCTACTTTTGCTGTTAGGAGTTCAAATCCCGGCGTCTCGAGATTCTACGAAGTGATTTTTTCAACTGCGAATGCATTTTAATGATAGAAAGTTAGATATATTCAAGAATATTAAATAAATAAATAAATTATAAATAATAATAACAAAGTAAAAACAAATAATAACAAAAAATATTAAAAAGTTACAATAAAACAAATTAGAAAGTAATAAATAATAAATAATGTAATATTTATTATTTAATTCTTGAAATTTATACAGAATAAATTGAATAAAATATAAAAAATGAAAATAGAATATAAAAAATGTAGAGCTGTGCAAAATAATTCAAACCGAACTGTTCGAATTTTTTCGCTTAGTAACCCGTGCAGAAAATGCCCCACTTTGCCCTATTTAAAACAGGGTTCTGGTCGGGGCCTGGACAGTTTTCCCTATTAATTTTTTTTTTAATAAAGTTTTTAGAATTCCTTTTTGTTGTAGAAGCTATTATCAATGAAAGGCAATCATTATTTTAGTTATTTAATAATTTTTTTATTTTAGGGGTTTGACTAGAATTCCTAGCCAGAACCCCAGGTACACTGCAAAAACTGGTATCTCACTCGTGTCTTAAAATGAGTTGCTTGAAGTGTTTAAACCATTGAGATACAAAATCTGTTTTATATTGAGACATTTAATTTCATCTCGTGTCTCATTTTAAGACATTAAAGGTAACTCAATGCGTATAAGACACGTAAAACGTCTTCTTAGTGTGAGACGGATACTCGAAACACATTTCATGTCTCAAAATGCATTGCTAAATGTGTAAGACACTTTGAAACGTCTTAAAATGAGACACATATCTGTTTCAAATATGTGGACTAAGACATCTTATGTTTTTCAAATATGGGACAAAACGTCTCAAAATGAGACACTTGTTTTTGCAGTGTAGGGTGTGCATTAGATTTTAGATAGGGTACTGATCAGGGCCTTGACAGTTTTCCTTGTTTAAATAAAGTGTAAAAAAATTAAATCTCTAAAATTACTTTTAATAAACAAGTTGTTCATTTCATGACCATTTAGCTTCCTCAACATATAAAATATAAATTCGTGACGTAATTCACTTACAAAATTTTAGCAAACTCCATCTAAACATATGTATAAAATTAAATTTATCGCATAGAATCGGGATAGAATCCAATCAAACATATAAAATATTTACTAAAGTTAATAATATATTCATTACTTCATTTTAGGTACAAATCTCCATGAAAACCAAATTATGATTTTTCAAAAGCATAACAATCAAAGCATACATTCTTCTTAAGGAAATTTCTTTTTGATGCAGCAAGATATATTCATAAACTAAATGTAATTATATTGCGGTTTGCAAACTTTTGCAATTCGAAATGATTCGAATTTTCTGTTGTCGAGTCGATTAATGTTCGGTTCGACTCGCGATTAAATGCACACCTCTATTTCATATGCAAATTGCTTCTTTTTTATGATAGAATAATCATTTAAAAATATTAATATTAAATAAATTATAAAAAAATACAAAATTTGAATTTTTTGTGAAAAAGAAAAATTTCTATTAATTTTATAAATTTTGATAAAAAATATACTTTGTATACATCAATCGATTTGTTTTCTTGTCAGGAATGTAATTTTGAGAATTAATTAAAATATTAACAAATAAAAAAATTATTTACAAAAATACAAAAAAATTTTTTTTTTGAATTTTAAAAAAATTGTATAAAAATTTTTTTTTTAGATATTTTTGAAAATCCTTGTGTCAGATTTTAGGTATTAATGACTGCAATAAACCTGCAAAATTTCAAGACAATCCATCAAAATTTGTTTGAGATAATTTGTACACAATTTTTGTGACATACACACACACACACATACATCTGGACATTTGCTCAGAATTGAATATACATATGTTATAGATGAAAATGAGTCCATATAACCTTCTTTTGAAAAATTGAAAATCGTCACGAATGCAAAGCTTCCTTATGAGGAAGCAAAATAATGAACAATTGAAGAATACAATTAAAGAGAGTAATTATACTATCGTTTTAATAATTTTTTTATTTTGTGGGTTTGACCAAAATTTCTGGCCAAAACCCCAAGTGAGGTGTTCACTAGATATTAAATAGGGCTCTGATCAGGGCCTCGACAGTTTTCCTCGTTTGAATAAAGTGTAAATAAATTAAGTTTTTTAAATTAGTTCCCATAATAAAATTATAAACAATTGAAGAAATTAATTAAACGGAGTAATTATACTACATTTTTAAGAATTTTTTTATCTTATGGGTTTGATCAGAAATTCTGGCCAAAACCCTAAGTGGGGTGTTCACTAGATATGAAATAGGGCTCTGATCAGGGCCTCGACAGTTTTCCTCGTTTTAAAAGCATGTAAATAAATTTAATTTTTTAAAATTATCTTTTTTAATACAGTTATTTAAGTTAAAAAAAGCGTGTTCTTTTAAAACACTTTATAAAATAATTATGGTAATATATTTAAAAAACGAAAATACAATATATAATTTTTTCCCTTTAAATACAATATTATAATAAAGTTTATTTATTAATAATAACAACTAAATTATAAATAACGAATAATAATAGTTATTAAATAATTAATTATTATACATTTATTTAAAAATAAAAATTATGAATTTAAAAAATAATAATTAATAAACAATTATTAACAAATTATACTTAATGAATTTTAATAATTATTAATTTATAGGATGAATTTATCATTTGGTTTGTATTTATATTATATTATTTTAATAATAATAATTATTTTATATTATATTAGCTTAAAGTGAGAAAATGATTCGGAGAGATTGTTAAATTTAACACCTTCAATATTTAATAACTATTTTTTAAACATAATTAATAAATTTGAATAAAATATTTATTAAATAAATATTAATTATTACTTATACATTTGGAAACAAAAATTATAACCTTTATTAATATTATAAAATTAAGGAGGCAGAAAGAAGCGACAACCTCCAAAAGAAAAATTAATTAATCATAAAACCAAAAATTATATTTTTCAAAAATTTTTAAGTTTTTCTATTCTTGAAATTATATTATTTTTATCATTTTCACTTTTAAATTAGTCAACATGACTATAATACCTCATTATGTTATGTATAAATATGTTGTGTTCATTATGTTTCTAATATAAATAAATAATATTTTTAATTACAGTAATTTTATTGTAATTTCTTTTGAATAAAATTAACCTCACAAAATAGGGCAATTTTAAGAAAAACTGACGAGGCCCTGACCAGTTTTTCCCTAAGTAGGGCATTGGTCGTGAACAGCGTCACACACTAATCGGGCACTGGTCAGTTTTTCTACCCAGAGCCACACCAGAGATCGGGAAAACTGTCCAGTACCCTATCAGGCCCACATTTTAATTTCTGCACGGGAAGCTAACTAAGTAAGCTAACTCGAATGTTGAATATTTTACATTCAAGTTGGACTAGTTCGAATGTCGAAAATTCGACATTCGGCGTTCCAAAACCGAACAAAACTCGGTTCGAATCGAATTTTGCACAGCTCTAAAAAAATGGTAAGAAAGAAACAAAAATTCAAAAAATATTCTTAAATTTAATAATATTTATTACTAAATATGTAAAAATAAGTAAAAAATTGTAAAATAAAAAATTATTTTTTAATAAAAAATTAATAGTAATAAATAACAAATGGTTGATAGGTTAAAACAGAAAGTAAATAAGTGAAAAATTGTCAAAAATTGCAACAGGTTAAAAATTGTAAAATTTTTACTGACAATATTAGACTGTGAGTCATATTAACTGGGTAGAAACTAGGGTTATAAATTCAACGTTATTTTTTAACTTTTACAAAATTAACTATCAAGAAATAAAATTGTCAATTTAAAAATATGTAAAATAGACATTGATAAGTTTTAAATGCAAACAAAAGTAGTTTAACAGCCGCTCGTTGTTGTTCATGCATTAATTTGCAACTTATTTTCTGTGGCAGCAACTATTAAGTGCAAATCGTTAATTCAAGACCAAAAGGATGTTTGCCTGTTTTAGTACATTTATAAATACACTAAACCGGAAGGCAAGTTTAATGGTTAATGTGTGACTCAAGTAAAGAGAACAGAAAGAAAATTAACTGACTTTGAATTCTTGCACAATGTCAGAATCTTTTTTTCCTTTTTTTTGAATTCTCTTAAAAATTTCCCAAGCGAGACAAGAGTGTCAGTAACATAGCAGTCGAACGAAAACCAGGAGATCGTCACCTCGTGACCTACGCAACATCGCAATTTTATGGGGCACTGAAGACAAGGAACGGTTCATGTCAACAACTTTTCACGTCGCGGATACCCAGTACTTATGGAGTACTTTTTTATTATTCCCTTTTATTCTCTCTCTCTCTCTCTCTCTCTCTTTTATCTTGCTCACTCGTCATCGTCTTCATGTCTCATTCGCATCGTTGCCTCTGCAAAAGAGACTAACGATGTTAAATCTTGCGCGAGTAAAACGAGGGAAATGTTTTTATTCCATTTTACAATGCGCGAATTATATGTATATATCAGCATGCATCAATGAATAAAGAGACGATAAGAATAAAATGATTCTCTATAACTTGTGCGGCCTTGTGTGCATACACTTGATATACAATCCTGTTTTCTTATACACTTTATCCATAATTTACACATAACTCGTTTATAATTTAATTCATATATATAAAGCGAGAGGAGCTGCAATTCAAGTGGAACAATTACTTTTTTTCTTTCACATCCTGCATATTTATAAATAAACTTTTTTTTATTCTCTCAATCAGTTTATATTTCATATTATCAAAATTTCTATAGATATTAATTTCTGTATTTACTTGGAATATTTCTAAGAATATATTCTGGTTCAAGAATTATAACTGGTTTCGATTTAGTATGAAATATACGGTTCGACTTGGGCCAAACCTGGCGCTGTCGGGCTCAAACAGGGATGAATCATCTAAATTATCATTTAGAACACTATTTCTGAATCTACTGTCGATTTGGAATGAAAAGCACACGGTAGTAGGGTAAAGTATCCCAAAACCAAATTGAGGTCAGTGAATTTCTACCCGGAACAGATCCGGAATTATTTCCAAGGGGAAAAAATGCAAACAAGAAAATAGGATCCCAAGTGACATGGACCATCATCCCATTCAAATGCAAAGTACCATACAAACTTATAATATGTAAAGAAGCTAAAGGAGAAAAGAAAAGAATACATCCCTTCTTGTAAATATATTACAAGGAATTGTAAATATATTACAAGTAATTGGCGTGAAAAATTCACAAATGAGCTTGCGCGTCTTTCGCCTAAGGGCACTGTTTCATCTTCGAAGGTCATCGGCAATGGCGAATAGAATTGAACACAAAACACCATGACTTTCACCATTTGGAAGTCGTTCGTGTCATGAAAGGCCTTAATAGTCTCGAGAACAACTCACGTCCCAAAACAAAATATCAGCCGAATGATATAAAACTCATACTGTCTGTAGATAGCAAAAATAGCAAGAACTTGTCCTCGAATATGATCTCAAACTAGCATGCGGGGTCAATCATTTGGATCATTATACTATAAAGGGGCTCTTTAAAAGATATAATCCTAGAATGGAATGCAATTGAACAAATGATGTATAGCTTTCACCTTAAAAATAAAAGGAGGTTTTGTTTTGTGCGGCCAAGACCTGATGAGCTTAAATACAAAGTAGATTTCGAGTCATCATACCAATGGCTTCTTGCCAAGTCGATACCTTACGAGTGTCACACCACTTGTTTTACTGCCCGACACCCGATATCAATTTCTCTTTCAAGGAGGAGGGTTAAGAAGCATAAAAAAAGAAGGAAGAAACTACCACACATTGGAAACGAGAGAAGGGAATCTCTTTTTGCCGGATATCCAGAGGTCGCATCCCCGTGACCCGGAACGTCCGGGTATGTCGAGACACAAGACAAAGGACACCGATATGTCCGCGACAATGCCGACCCCCGGGGTCACAGACGGATACCTATACGATTTCAGGAAAGAATCTTCGCTTAGATTCGAATCGCGCGCGCCTGCTTCGATTCTCACGTCACGAGAACAAAAGCGTGCTTTGGCAATCAAGATTCTAGCAGCAACGACGACGAAGACGAGGAGTCGTTGGATCACCAATGACCGAGTGTCAATAGATTGTCGAAATGTCGCTTTCAATTCAATTCATCGTGTCTAACGAGAGAATTTCCAACGAGGATTTCTCCATAAAACAGGGTTGCCACACAAATGTAATTTTGTTTTTCTCTGACTTTTGCAAAATTATTCAAATACGTCAATAATTTAGTTTGAAATAAATATTTAATCATTATTAATTTCCCATATAGGAATTAAGATTCTCAAAAATTTCAAATTTAAACCTTTTTGAAATTCAACAACTTATAAGAATATTATTATAAAACATGAAGATATCGATCACTCCGAGTCGAAGACTCGTAGTAATCAATTTCTTCTTGTTTTATAACAATTAAAGATGACCGTGAGATAAAATCATTATTTTATATTATACACTAAAAAATGATATTGTCGATTTTGTCATACGAGTATAGTAAGGACGTATAGCTGAAACAGTAAGCAATACTGTATTTCTGTTCTTCAAATACAGTATTGGTGTTCTTCACATACATATTAGTGTCTCTCACATACATATGGTTGTTCTATACTGCGTATAGCTGAAACAGCAATACTGTATGGCTGTCCCATATCCAGCAATATAATATGTGAGTATTGGCCATATTTATGGCAGTATCATAAATATATTGTTTTCAGTGTAAGAATATTGTTACTGTAACTTCTTCAAAATTATTTCAATCATTTCAATTCAATTATTACTTTTTAGAATTTTTAACTAAAATTCTTCTTTAAATGAATTATTTTTAATAATTTTTGAAAAAGTTCGCTGAGAATTTTCAAATTTGTTCACAATTTAATATTACGAAATTTTGTTTATTCGGAAATTCTTCAATTAAATGTATATTAAAAAATAAAGACTTCAAATAATTTTTGAAAAAATTCAATTATTTATAATGAAAATCAAATAATAAAATGTTTGCATAGAATTTGTTTACAATTTTTTTAAAATGATTAAATTCGTTTAGAAAACTTTATTAAAATAGTTGATATTGCAAATCATTGAAATGGGAAAAATTTGTGTAATTCATTAAAATTTTTGAAAATAATTGTATTCTGGAGGGGGCGCATGATTATTCCTCAAATTTCAATTTCCTAATGTTCAAAACATCGAAATTCTTATCATCGAAACATCATTTCATTTTATGTCACTTGATAATTCGAGAAATGAACATTATGACAAATAAAATTTCGATAATAGTATATTAAGCAGCAAGGGTATGAAGACAGCCATTTGTTTACAGTGATTTTTGTGACACGAGTGAAGGTGGAGGGCGCCGTAGGCGCTCCGAGATAGTGATCGGATTTTTTTTTGAGAATCGATTCTTAGATTCTCTCGATTCTTATAAATTAGTCGATTCTAGGAATCGAGGAATCGATTCTAGCAAGGAATCGTTTTTTAATAATAATTGGTCATGATATGACCATATGCTGTTGACGTCATTATTATTAAGATTTTCGTCTCTCAAACAATCTTGGGCAACTTCTTTGGTCCTATTTTTTAGTATCGTATCTAAAAAATAAAATAAATAAAAATTAATATTTTGTATTTTAATTTTTATAATTGTGACGCGTTCCCAAGAAAGGTACCTAAGAAGCAAAAAATTTGAGGTTATGTTTTAAATTTTTTGAGTAAAAATACAGAAAGAGAATCAATTAATAATTAAAAATTGTTGGTCTTCAAGTCTTTATTACATTCAAAATATTTCATGAATATTGGTTTCAAATTCAAATAATTAAAAAAAAACTTTTAATCAAGATAAATCTAACTCGAATCCAACCTATAATTCGTTTGCTTCTTAGGTACCTTTCTTGGGGTCGCGTCACAATTAATAAGATTTTCTGCTAAACTTCATCTCTGAATCAAATAATTAAAATTATTTTCTAAAAGTTCCTCTAGAATTCAATTATATTTTAAAATAATTTTTGATAGATTTGTTTATAGTTATTTTTCGCAGTATAAAAATCAATATAAGTTGCACTTTTTTTTACTAATAATTGTGGTATTTTGTTGCAATGTTTGGGAGAAAAGTCGAAAAAGTCGCAATTTTTTAAAATATGTCTAAAAAAAAGTATCAATTTTCTTAATTTTCCTGACAATAATTCTGTTTCTCTGACATTTCCCTGACTTTACTGACATATAGCCACCCTGGACTTACTAATGGCGCCAACAGCATTTGCAGCAAAAACAGCATTTTGAAAATGCAGTTTTTTAAATCTCGGATCGAGAATTGTTGCCATTGCAGCTACTTTAATATTTTCTACTGTCCTAAATCTTTTTTCCAAGTTAGTTAACAATGTTTGTTTAAAATTAAATAAAAAGGGATGCGTTGCTTTGTAATTGTTGATACTCTGAAAAAGGAAACAATTAAAAATATTATAAGGGACCGTTAAAATAATACGTAACGCTTTTTGGGACCTAAATTTCCGGAAAATAGTGTTACGTATTTTTTGAACGACCCTTAATCTAAATTATATTTAAATGTAAACCAAGTTGAAGTCCACAACGTTTATCAACGAAAAAAGTTTTATAATAAGTGTTAATTAATAGAAAAAAAGGATAAAGCAACAATACTGTCAAAAAAATGTATTAGAAAGGGAGTTTTATTTATATTTTAATAATAATAATTGTTGTATATTTTACAAAAATATATTATTCCAATAAATTAAAAAACCTTTTTTGTTGATCAACGTTGTGGACTTCAACTTCGTTAATGTAATATATTTTTGAAACGGATAATAATAAGAATATCGTATTTACTTTTTGAAGAAGGGAAATCAGTGGTATACACTTGCTCAATGTAACCGACTTCTCTGAGCAAATTTCCTTAGTTACTTGAGACATAGGTTTTAAAATATCTCTAATCTCATTGGCAATTTCTTCTTCCTCAGGTGTCAACATCATTGGGGGTTTTCCTCTTGTCGACTTTTCTCTGGAAACTTTTAACAAAACTCTTCCAATGAAATCGGACAGTTCCAAAAGTCGATCGAGCATATCGAAAGTGGAATTCCACCGTGTTTGTACTTCTTGTATTAGTTTTAAGCACTGGTTTTCATTCCTATTACATTCTTTCTTCTGTAAATAAGCTTTGAGCTCTTCAGTTGCTCTATCACTTTTGCGAAAAAAAGTTACAATTTTTTTTTATTTTTCTAACAACTGTTTTCAGAGAACTGCGATGTTATTATTTTCATTTCCCTGATCGTCGTCTGAAAGGTCATTATCGTCGTCGCTGTTTTCGGGCAATGAATCCTGATTATTTTAAAGGCTGCTTTTCCTTAAATTTAAGGAATTTTGTGCTACAATCACAGAAAAAAACTATACTCAAAATGAGTATCATATGATACTCATTTTGAAGTGCAACAAAAATGATACCCCTTTGACTCATTCTGAGTTTCTGGGGAAAAGACTCAAAATGAGTAAACAAGTTGTTCATTTCATGACCATTTAGCTTCCTCAATGTATAAAAATTGCGGTTTTGCAAACTTTTGAAAAACTATGTACAAAAGGGTTCGTCCAGAAGATTTGTTAAAAATAAAATTATATAAATCATTTATAATTTATAAGTTGTTATATAAATATTTGGTGAAATTTACACTTTCATTTGCCAATTGCTTCTTTTTTATGATAGAATAATCATTTCAAAATATTAATATTAATATTAAATAAATTATGAAAAAAATACAAAATTTGAATTTTTTTTTTAAAAGAAAAATATTTATTAATTTGATAAATTTTGATAAAATATATACTTTGTATACATCAATCGATTCGTTTTCTTGCCAGAAATGTAATTTTGAGAAAAATTAATGAAAATATTAACAAATAAAAAAATTATTTCAAAAAATACAAAAAAAATATTTTTCAGAATTTAAAAAAAATTGTATAAAAAAAATTTTTGTAGATATTTTCGAAAATCCTTGTGTCAGATTTTAGGTATTAATGACTGCAATAAACCTGCAAAATTTCAGGACAATCCATCAAAATTTGTCTGAGATAATTTGTACACAATTTTTGTGACATACACACACACACATACACACATACATACACACACACATACATCTGGACATTTGCTCATAATTGAATATACATATGTTTTAGATGAAAATGAGTCCATATTATAACCTTCTTTTGAAAAATTGAAAATCGTCACCAATGCAAAGCTTCCTCATGAGGAAGCAAAAGCGGTATCATTTTGGGTTTATAATAAAATTACAATAACATTGGAATAACTGGGAATAATTCATAAAAATATGAATTAATATAATTGTTTATAATGATTAAACACTTTGCACTTGTCAAAACATTAATACTTGAAGTCGATTTATCGCATTTATGAGAAATGAAAAACGAATTTTTAGGTTAGACATTTGTGAATTGACTGACAGGGATGGGCAACCATATGTCATTTTACTCATTTTGAGTCACTTGAAGTTGCCGATTACTCATTTCGAGTCACTTGAAGGTGTCGATTACTCATTTCGAGACCGACTTCCAAATGCGTTGCAACAAAAGTGAGTCGAGTTTTTTTTGCGATATGCTTGTTATCACCAAAAACAATTTTGCAAGCGTTGACAATGTTAGCCGCATTGTCAGTTAAAACTGCCTTGACGTGGTCAGGTTGTATGCTCCATTCGGAAATTAGATCCTTTAAGATCACGCATAAATTTTCCGTTGTTTTTCTTTCAGCCATGGGTTTGGCTCCAATTGTCACAGATTCTATTTCGATTCCTAAATAGTATATTTCGTAACGAGTGCGAGCAGTTGCTAATTTTTGAATGAGCGCTTTTTTTGGAACGAACTGTAGGCGAAGCGAAGCCTCTTAACCTCCTTTTCACTCTCCTGACTGTTACTGTCGTTATTTTCATTTTCAGTTGACGAAAAACTTTCTGTCCTTTTCCTTTTCTTCGAAAATGAAAGCAGATTTATTTTATGGATTGTTTGTAGGTGTTTAGATAACGAAGAAGTGCTTTTACAGAATTTTAATTCTACGAGGCACACTCCGCAACGTACCTCATCTCCTTTATTTATTTTTTGAAAATAATTCCAAACTTCACTTGGCGGCATTTTAGAAAAGCAATTTAAGACAAGAGACTTTGACAAATTCCAAGTAAACACTGCGACAAGAATGTGATCATACCGGTTATTCATATACCACGTGTACAGATTAGCGCCAAAAAAAGTAAATAATGAGTAATTTCAGTTTTTGGACCAATCACCATAAACATGCTGTAGGATCAACCAATAACGGCATATTATGAGTATGCTCACAGCAACTCTTGAAACGCCCAATAAATATATCTCTGCGCAGACAGCAGACGTTGAAATTGTGACTTAAGAATCGATTCTTCTCGATTTTCTTTAGTATAGAATCGATTCTTGGAAGTCGAGAATCGATTCTACACAGGAATCGGACTTGATTCTATTTACTCCGAGACCGGAACGAGTGTCACAAAAATCATCGTAAACAAATTGGCTGCCTTTATCCCCATGTTACTTACGATATTTTTTATTCCTAATGCACAAAAGTGGCGATTTCAGATAGCAGACGACAGGGAATAAAAGTCAGTCACTTGTTCGACTTATATGAAAATGGCGGCCGTTTTCTCCCTTGGACAAAAATAACGCATGGGATCAGCGGTTATGTTTGCACATGGGAGAAAATGGACGCCATTTTCATATGGTCGAACAAATGAGTGACTTTACTCCCTGTCGTCGGCTATCTAAAAGCGCCATTTTTGTGCATGTGGGATAAAAAAATTATGTTGAATGAAATTTCGAAAACTGAAAATTATGCGAAATGATGTTTGGATGATAAGAATTTCGTTGTTATGAACATTAGGAAATTTAAATTTGAGGAATAATCATGCGCCCCATTCTGGAAAATGATTTTATTATTTTGAAAGATAATTGAAATTTTGACAATAGGTTTTTAAAAATTTTTAACTTAACCCTAGAAGGAGTAACTGGGGTGTCTGGACACCCCAAGCAAAATTCAAAGTATTCCCATGGCTTAACCAATAATTTTTTTACGCTCAAAACCCGTTGATAATTTAGTTTAAACCTCTATCTTTTGACACCTGTATGTGCCGCCAAAAGTTTTGCTCTAGGAAGAGCTCTATCTCCTGCTAAAATACTTTTGGGGTGTCTGGACACCCCAGTTACTCCCTAACGTTAGAAAAATTGTCAAGATAAGTAAATTCAAATTTTTTTAAAAAATCGTTTTTAATCAGTTAAAATTATCTGTTTAAGTATAAATTGATAGGTTATGCATGAAAAAGTTGTATTTTATAAAAAAGAAACATTTTTATACAAAAATTCCATTTTTATGAAAAATAGACATTCTGTATTTGTAACAACTTATGAAATTTGAGTTAAGATTTATTAAAATTTTCTGTGCTCTCTCTACAGTCAGAAATTAAATTCTAATACAGAAAAATGTAGTATATGACAGTCAAATTTAAATTATAAATTCTATATTGTTAATAATATTATAACATATATTAGAGGTATTAAGAATTGATAATTAAAACTTTGATTAAATATTAATTTACAGAATCATTTCATAAGTTATTAATTTTAATGTTAATGTATTCAGATATATTAAGTTTGTAAAATTTTAAATTTATAACACCATTTTTAGTAAATATTAATTGTTTAAGTCCATTTTTATGATTTTCACTATTCGTCAATTGTCTTTAATTTCCTTCACTTCAGATGTTCAAATAATTATGTTTTTGGGAACTAATACAAAAACTAATTTTTTCCCCTAAAAGTGTATTTATTTAACTTTAAAAACCTAAAATAGTTTTTAAATTAGTCAAATTCTTAAGAAACTACAACGTTTTTTGTAAAAAAAAGTCAATTTTGCAATTTTTTGGTGTTTGTTTTGGGTTTTTACGGTTTTTTTTCAAATTTTTTTTAATTTAGTGCGATTCCATGGGAGATTTCAGCTTTTTCGGAGTAAGTAAACCAATTGCAATGAAACTTAGGAATTTCAATCTACACATAAAAAGAAACATTTTCACCAAATATTACGTCAAAATATTCAGTAGTTTTTGAGATGTCAAAATTTTGGAAAAATTTTGAAATCGTTATATCTTCTTTTCATCTTAACCAAATCACTTAATTCTTTTTGGAAAAAGTTCAGCATAAAAAAACGAAAAATTTTTTTATATTATGTTTATAAAAAATTTTTATAAACAAAAAAGTTATTAAATAATAATTGAATAACTTTTGCACGACTAAACGAAATTGAATGAGGCAAACACTAAACAAATCTTCGCTCTGGTTTTTTTAAGATTCCGAAAAAAACATGGTACATCACGAAACATTTCTATACAATATTTTAATATTTTTGTTCACTTTTAAGCGTAAACATTAGAAGTTTCTGCTACTTTACGTGAAAATTCAGGTGCGCGCGCAGACCTCTCTTTCTAATCATCTACGAATTTCCGGTTTCAGAGAGAGAGGTCTGCGCGCGCACCTGAATTTTCACGTAAAGTAGCAGAAACTTCTAATGTTTACGCTTAAAAGTGAACAAAAATATTAAAATATTGTATAGAAATGTTTCGTGATGTACCATGTTTTTTTCGGAATCTTAAAAAAACCAGAGCGAAGATTTGTTTAGTGTTTGCCTCATTCAATTTCGTTTAGTCGTGCAAAAGTTATTCAATTATTATTTAATAACTTTTTTGTTTATAAAAATTTTTTATAAACATAATATAAAAAATTTTTTCGTTTTTTTATGCTGAATTTTTTCCAAAAAGAATTAAGTGATTTGGTTAAGATGGAAAGAAGATATAACGATTTTAAAATTTTTCCAAAATTTTGACATCTCAAAAACTACTGAATATTTTGACGTAATATTTGGTGAAAATGTTTCTTTTTATGTGTAGATTGAAATTCCTAAGTTTCATTGCAATTGGTTTACTTACTCCGAAAAAGCTGCAATCTCCCATGGAATCGCACTTTATCAAAGTATAAACAATATTATCGTATTCCTTACTAAAAAACAATCAATTCATTATAAAAAAATTTTTTTACGTCAAATAGAAACCTTATAAAACAAGTTTAAAGCGTGGGGTGTCGGGACACCCCAGTTACTCCTTAGAGGGTGAGTAAATTAACGTACTCCTTCTAGGGTTAATTTAATTTCTGCAATCATTTGCAACTTCTCAAAATTTAAATTTTTTAGTGTTTTTAAATAAAATTCTTCTTTAAATCAATTATTTTTAATAATTTTTGAATATAAATATTAGAAAATATAAGCTTAAAATAATTTCAAAAAAATTAATTCTATAGAATTGTTAGTTAAAAGTATGAAAAATTCAGATTTTCAAAGATTTTAATTGGAAACATTTTCAAAATTCAATTATTTCTAAAATACAAAAATAAATAATTTATTGAAGAAATATATAAAAATTTCTAAATCATTGAATTCCTTGTGAAATTTTTATTATTTATGAAAATAATTAAATGATTGCGTACACTGAGAGAAATTTCTGCATAAAATAGTATGAACTGTAGCCATACTTTTTTCACATCTTTATGACATACGCCTTTAGTCAAAACATCATACTCATTTCGTAGAAATAACGTTTTTTTGGTGTGATGACTAAGCGAATAACGCTTTTTTGGATGAAACTGAAGTTACCAACGTTGATTCAACGAAAAACTTTTTAAAAAAAATTTCTCAGGATACAAATTTTTATTGTTTACTTTTAACCCAAGTAAACCCTCTAAACCCTAAAATAGAAAAAAACATGGGAAAAATAGTGATTTTTAATTTTTTTGTCGAATTTTTTTTTAAAATCACGCAATTCCAATTAAATTAATAAATTCCTCGCATCGGTAGTCATTTTTTTCTTTAGATAATTGTTTATTTTGACATTAGACGTTATTTTAAAAAAATTTCAAGTCATTCCAAGTCGGGGAAAGCAGTGATTTTTATTTTTTTTGTCGAATTTTTTCCAAAAATCACGAAATTTTAAGTAAATTAATAATTCCTCGCCTCGGTAGTCGTTTTTTTCTTTTGATAATTGTTTATTCTACTGTCGAGTGTCATTTAAAAAAAATTTTGAGTGGTTCCAAGTCGGGGAAAGCAGTGATTTTGATTTTTTTAAATAAAAATTTCGTAATTTTTGGAAAAAATTCGACAAAAAAAAATAAAAATCACTGCTTTCCCCCGACTTGGAATGACTTGAAATTTTTTTAAAATAACGTCTAATGTCAAAATAAACAATTATCTAAAGAAAAAAATGACTACCGAGGCGAGGAAACATTAATTAATTTTAAATTTCGAAATTTTTGGAAAATTCGTGACACAAAAAAAATTCAAAATCACTGCTTTCCCCGACTTAGAATCACTTAAAATTTCTTTTAAATAGTGTCTAATATTAAAATAAACAATTATCAAAAGAAAAATATAACTACCGAGGCGAGAAATTATTAAAATGAATTAAAATTCTCGGATTTTCAAAAAATCCGTGACAAAAACCAAAATCACTGCTTTCCCCGACTTGGAATTACTTGAAATTTTTTAAAATAACGTCTAATGTTAAATTAAACAATTATCAAAAGAAAAAAATGACTACCGATGCGAGTAATTATTAGTTTAATTAAAATTGCGTGATTTTTGAAAAAAATTCAGCAAAAAATTAAAAATCACTACTTTCCCCACGTTTTTTTTATTTTAGGGTTTAAAGGGTTTACTTGGGTTAAAAGTAGACAAGAAAAATTTGTATCCTGAGAAAATTTTTTTTATAAGTTTTTCGTTGAATCAACGTTGGTAACTTCATTTTAATTTTTTTGGTATGATTCCTGAGTGAATTCAGTATGTTTTCATAACAAAAACTCACGACAGAGGGCATGCGAAGCGCGTTGAGTATTTCAATACTATTTTATGCAGAAATTTCTCTCAGTATGTAGAATTTTATCAAATCTTTTTTCAAATAATTGGATTCTTTTAAAAAATTTTAATAAAATAGACATTGAAAATCATTGAAGTGAGGAAAATTTTTGAAAATAATTGGATATTTATAGTTTGGTGCGGTCAAAAAATGTAATGTTTCTTTTATTCATTTGTTTCATCTAATTGAATACTTTGGTAGTTTTATTTCAAAATCTGACGATTAGTTATCATATAAATAATTATTAAACAAAATTAATACATGCATTGGGTGCTCCCTCCATGCAAAATGTATGAACTTTGAATTCATTTTTTGAAGCTTTGAAATGGTCAAAATTAATGAAATTGGTCTCATTCTGTAGATAAATACTTCAGGAATAAGTATGCAAAATTTGAAAAAAATCTGACGAAAACCATTTTACGCGACTAATACCTTAAATTTTTTTAGTGTTTCAAATTCAATTAATTTTGAAATATTTATAACTAAAATTATTCATTAAAAATTTTCTAAGTAATAATTTTATGATAGTTCTTCGAAAATAAATTAAGTTATTTAAAAAGAAATTGAAGCGTTGGGTGCATGAAGGGCGTATCACTAAAAACTTTAATTTTTTAAACTTTAATAGCTCAAAAACTGCACTGAGAAAACTGGAGTATTGGACTAAACATCTGGAGGGACAAATCGTTGATATTTGAGAGTTAACTATTGTATAACAATCTAAATGTTCAAATACACCATTGACAGATATTCGTGCCATTTCTCTTGGAGGGAAAATGAGTTTATAACAGAGGGACAAATTAACCATCTTGAGAAATCCCTTCCTTATCCGGCGCGAAATGAATAAATATGGCAACCTAACCCCTAAATTAAATACATAAAATGTCAGAAAAATAATTTCGCGCGCATCAGATCGTACACATTTTCTGCGCAACTTTTAACCCTCAGATATAATGGGAGAGAATATACAAGTAGATTTCCATTATCAATTCAAAATTTATTTTAGAAGGACTATTTAACTCTCTTCATAAGCAAAGGAAACATACACTTTTTGAACCTCTGAATTTGACTCTCCAGTTTTCTCAGTGTGTACATGCAAATTAAATATACTTTTCTTAAATTAATTAGTCTATCAAATTAATTAACTATCAAATTCAAGTGTAAAATTAAGGGAAAATTGCAATTAACTAATAAATAATAATGTTTTTTAAAACCAATTTATATGCCTAACGCCCTTCTTGCACCCAACCCCTCAATTATTGTCTGAAACAGAAAGAATTCAAGGTTTTGTATTAGAATTCGTGGTAATTTCATAGTTTATGAGGCAACCAAAAAGACACCAAAATTCAGGATTTTCTTATGAATTTTAAAAATTCAACTTTTTCCAGTAACTTTAATAAAAATCTCTGACTTTTCCTAGAATTCCCTAACTTCCCTGACTTGTAGCAATCCTGATAAAAGCAAAGTGAGGAATAATTTTTAGATTGCACTGCGCGCATTTATTTTTTACACCAATTAATGAAGGTTACTGCAAGGTGTTTAAATTCTGATTGCATGTCATGATTGTTAGTCACTTTTAGTTTTAGTAAAAGTGCCTCCTGTCAACTTTTGCTACCGACTTGATAACAACATGCCTTATTTCTTTCATTTTTTCTGTTTTTTTTTTAACTCCAGGGGCTTAACTGTGATGATTGATTGAAATGCAACGGGAGAGTTGTAAGATCTTAACGGTTTCTATACAGACATATCTAACTTTTTCTCTGATGTGGGTCAAATTAAGATCCGTCGGCGATAAAACAATTTTTCTTTTTTCAAATCGAGCCATATTTTTTTTAAATATATGCATATAAACTTACCCAGATTTCCATTCTTATACAGTATTTGTAAATCGAAAATCCCAAGCTTACCTGGAAAAAAAAGAAAAATTACATTAACAGTCATAGACGAAACAAGTTAATTCTTAAATCCCACCCACAATAACTATGTCTACATGAGGTATTCTTTCTCAAATGGTTCTTTTTGTCAAAACTTATTTGCTTTTTGGTCTAGGGAGATAAGGGGTGGTGGTTCACTTGAAGAAATACCTCCTATATCAAATTTCGAACTTTCTTCGCGTGTTTTCACCTCCCATAACTCATTTACTGATCGTAAAAGTTGATTTTTAAACACACCCTAACACACCCTTCGGAAGGTCATTATCCATCACCCTCTTTTCAGTTAAATTACATTCCGAAAGTAAACAGTTCATTAGATGCTGGTGACTGCTACGGCAGTGACTATAGCAAAACCCCCTAACCAGCTATAAAATAAAATCGCAGTACTTAAAAAAAAAGTGACCAGTTATATCCCGAAGTGGCCCAGGTGTAGAGAGAGTAAATTGCGGGTGGTTTAAATGGAAAATAAATGAAGGTTTTTATATACAGGAAGGAAGATATTGACATCTGTTTGTAGTTCTTCTTCTTGTATATGTGTTCAGGTACATGTTGGAAGCAGAGTATACCTAGTAACCTATGTACACGACACCTATATATACACTCGTAACTTTACATACCAGGATGCATTACCCATGTATATATGTATGTATTGACATCGTAAACCGCACGTAAAGGCGTGTTCGCACAGGACGAGGAACATCGTCACTATGTACACCCAGTTACCCGTCCAGTCCTATATAAGGGTCTCCTCGTATATGCACTATACATATATTCATGTGTTGCATACGCATAAATACCGTAAAGTGCGCTGATACACTGTGTGTACCTATGTGAGGATTGTTGGAATAGTAGGACCATGCGGGATGTCCTTATAGAGTTGCATCTACATTTACATGCATACAATATACTTATGCAGCTACAATACACGCAACCGTACAGTATAAGTATACAGATACTTGTACCTTAACCTATCCCTTTATCTGTATCTGTAGTTTCAGCATTATCTCAACCAATATCTGGATGTGTATCTACAATTTTGCCTTTTCTTATCTCAACTAGTATCTGAATGTGGACATTTACTTGTAGCTTCAATTGTAACTTTATCTTCAGCTTAATTAATGTCTGCATCTGTTTAGTTTTGCAATGTATTTGTACATTTATCTATACATGCAACTTTACCTGTAGTTGGATCACTCGTTTTACCAACAACTGCAGATATTATTTAATCTGAAGGTGAAATCAAAGGTATATGTAGATAAAATTGCAGATGCAAATATTATTTAAGCTGAAGGTAAATTTGCAGTTATAGATATAACAATCAAAATACAGATATTAAGGCGTACTTGCGTTTGCGAAGGCAAAAAATAGACCCCACTTTAATGTTTTTTTTCAGTCATTTTATTTAAAATATTAAAAACGATTTTCGCACCTTAAAGTACAATATAAAAAACTACAAAAAGAAAAAATTATTCCGTTTTTTAACTGTTATTTACGATTCGTAGAGGGAGTCAAAGTATATTTGTAAGAAATTGCGGTGCCCCCGATAGAGCCGCTCCGACAGTCTAAAATAAAAAAAACAAAATATTCCTTAGTATTCCTTATAGTATACATTAATTATTAATAGCTAGTGGACGTATGTGATAAAATTTAAAAAAAAGTAAGAAAAACGAAAATGGCGTTCTTTTTAAAGTCGCATTTTCGTTTTTTTTTTACTTTTTTTAAATTTCATCACATACGTCCACTAGGTATTAATGTATATACACTGCAAAAACTGGTATCTCACTCGTGTCTTAAAATGAGTTGTTTCAAGTGTTTAAACTATTGAGATACAAAATCTGTCTTATAGTGAGACATTTAATTTCATCTCGTGTCTCATTTTAAGACATTAAAGGTAACTCAATGCGTATAAGACACGTAAAACGTCTTCTTAGTGTGAGACGGATACTCGAAACACATTTCGTGTCTCAAAATGCATTGCTAAATGTGTGAGACACTTTGAAACGTCTTAAAATGAGACACATATCTGTTTCAAATTTGTGGACTAAGACATCTTATGTGTTTCAAATATGGGACAAAACGTCTCAAAATGAGACACTTGTTTTTGCAGTGTAATTAAGGAATGGATTTTGTTTTTTTGATTTTAGACTATCAGGAGCGGCTTTATTGGGGGCACCGCAATCTCTTACAAATACTTTGGCGCCCTCTACCAATGGTAAATAACAGTCAAAAAACGAAACAATTTTTTCTTTTTGTAGTTTTTATATTGTACTTTAAAATCGTTTTTAATCCTATTTTAAATAAAATAACTGTGAAAAAAACATTAAAGTGAGGTCTATTTTTTGCTTTCGCAAACGCAAGTACGCCTTAATTAATCTAAAGCTACAGGTACAGCTAAAGCTTCACCACTAACTGAATTTTAATCTAACTATAGCTGTAATACCATTAAAAAAATCTGAAGCTTCATCTTTAAATTAACTATATAACACTTGTTTCTTTACCTGTATAGGTTTCTCTATAGCTTAACGAACATTTTTCTTTTTTAGCAGCTTCAAGTTTAGCTTTAAGGTTAACTTTACCAACATTACTATCTATTGCTTTAGCAAAATCTTCACTTTTATCCATATAGTTGTATTTTCAGCTTAGTAACAACTGCAACTCTGCTTGTAGCTTTATCAATTAAAAGTGTAGGTAAAAACACAATTATTGGTTAAGTTGAAGGTGAAGCTACAGGTACAGATAAAGATTCATGTATTGATAAAGTTACAGATATAAATAAAGATACACCTATAAATAAAGATGCAGGCATAAATAACGATACATGTACAGATAAATTTGAAGGTATAGATACAGATAATTTTTGTCATACTAAAGGCAAAGGTAATTAAGTTAAATGTAGTGCTACAGATAAAATTGAAGTTACAATTACAGACACAAATATTTCTTAAGACGAAAGAAATGGTACAAATATAGATGCAGAGATTTTTTAAAGTAAAGGTAAAGTACTTTCTCAGTAAAGGTGAACGTAAAGTTGTAGGTTAAATGATTTTAAAGCTAAAAGTCACAGTCATAGTAAATTTACATAGGTAAAGTTACAAATGCAATAAAAAACAGATGTTGTTTAAACTAGAAGGGATTTAGGGAAGCTAGATTAGATTTAGAAGGAAAGCTAGAGGTAAAACTAGAAGTATTATATAATAGATAAGGTTAGAGGTATGGAGGTAAAGATACGGATATGTACAGATATGAACGGATTTGTTGCAGATACCTTTGTATTTGCAGTAGTGAATCCGGAGAGAAATAAATTTTTATCCATAGACCACTTAATTACAATGTAACTCTCCCCACCCAAATGTCACACTCACATAAATATCGCCTACCATCCCCACTTCCAGAAAAAACAAACACTCTGAAAAAAGTATTAAGTTTGCCGTTAACTAGTACATTAAAGACTTATTCTCTCGACAAAAGGCATTGTTTACAAATTTTATTGCACGACGATCCAAACTTACGCGAAGAGTCACGAGCGAGGAATGCGTAATCCTGTTGCACAGTGAAGCTACTTACTTTAGACTTATAAATACAGTTAAGTGACCAAAGGGTCACTGGAACGAAACTAATCGATTGTATAGACGACGCGTTTTATAAACATCATTTTACCGCACATTCAAGGTTCGATACTGTACATTTTTTTACAAAAAGAAAGAATTTTCCTTTTTATAGTTGAATTTTTGACATCTAGATGTAAACTATTATATTCCTGATTGGAAAAAGAATTAGCGTCTTAAGAAAGTATGATGGTAAATAAAATTTATGGAACCATATACATACTGCCGTACTAAGGAAAAACTTACATAACTAACAATTTTGTGAAAGTTTAGTTTTTGGTATCAATCAACTCGGAAAGAAAAACTGCATTTAACTGTGTTAATAAAAATTAAATATATCAGATAATAAGTGCGAAAAACGATAATTAAAAATTAAAGAATATGAAGAAAATGAAGAAATACTTGATAAAAACTTATACGAAATACTTTGCGTGCTCTGAAAATCGTACGAATCATCGGGCTCGAGTAGCAAATACGAAGGAAAAATTTACACAAAGTGACATATGTTTTTTTTCTATCGAACATTTGGTCGAGCACGACAGTTGCGTACGAAATGAAAACCACGTAACTGCAATCTCGAAACATGTGTAAGTTCTTCTATCGTAAACTTGGCCGAGGCACCACGTAAGTGCACTTCGGTTACATTCGCCCTTATTTGTCGGGTATGTTCGGAGAGGCACAGATTACCATGCACTGCTCCCCACCAAGCGACATAGGAAATGTGTAAGTTTTTAATTCTGATCGCTGCTCCGAGCTCGAGTACCCGTGCGGGAGAAACAACACAAGTGACGATGTGTAATTTTTCCCTTCGTATTTTCAAAAGGTAGACATCGTAAGTCACATTTTGCTTAGAATTTGTTTAAATAATTAATTTTTTTTTGCAAAATTAGAATCAGCACATACACTTTTATTAGAGAAGTGTCATTTAATTTTTAAATTTCTATTTCTAAAATACACTACCGTCGGGAATTATCGGTACGGCTGCACACGCACGCGCACGGCCCAAAAACATACCAATCATTAAATCAGGATTTTTTTGTAAATACAAATGTCAAAAAATTAACAAATATACCATTCGAAAGATTATTAAATTCTACGATTAATGATATATAACTGAAAATTTCAATAATTTATACAAAGATTGCAGCAATCAACAAATTTGACGAAAAAATAAAATTTTTTTGGAAATTTTTTCAACCCTTGCACATTTTTTAAAAATTGTAGAAAAAATTTGAAACTTATATAGGTGTGATCATTAAAATCTCATCTTTAATTTAAGACCAAAAGAGTTCAAAAATCTTAATCGGTTAGCAAGATATCATTATAAACGGCAGAGCATTTTCAGCCAAAAACCGTTCAAAATCGACTAATTCACTGCATTTGTAAAAAAAACATGCTCGGACGTTTATAATGATATCTCACGAACCGAATAAGATTTTTAAACTCTTTTGGTCTTAAATTAAAGATGAGACTTGAATGATCACACCTATATAAGTTTCAAATTTTTTCTACAATTTTTAAAAAATGTGCATGGGTTGAAAAAATTTCCAAAAAAATTTTATTTTTAAAATTTTTGTGTCAAATTTGTCGATTGCTGCAATCTTTGTATAAATTATTAAAATTTTCATTTATGTATTATTAATCGTAAAATTTAATTATCTTTCGAATGGTATATTTGTTAATTTTCTGTCATTTGTATTTACAAAAAAATCGTGATTTAAAGATTGGTATGTTTTTGGCCCGTGCGCGTACAGCCGTACCGATAATTCCCGACGCGACGGTATAGTGTAGATTTCTTGAAGCAAACAGTTTTTCTCTATTTTCTCAATTTGACAGGGATTGCACTTATGTAAATTTTTCCTTAGTACGGCAGCATAATGGTTGGCTTAAAAAGAATATACTTGGATTTACAATAGAATGAAATGATACTTAATGTTAATTAATTAAATGCATCATCATGAAATATTAAAAGAAAATCTTTATGCAAGGGATTGTATAATCAAAAACGTTTCTAACAACATTTAACCTAAATGGTACTTAAGATGTATTGTACAATTAGTTCTAACGATATTTAATCCAAATGGTACCTACTAAATATGAATTATGCACCTACTTATAATAATTAATCCAAACGCCACTAAAAATTTTAATCCAAATGTTTACTGACAATTTTAAATCCAAATTTCATTAATAACACAGCCACACAAAAAAAAAAAGTTCTGATCTGGGGGTCTCACTATGTAGACTTTATGTTTTTTGGGTCGCTGAATCCGAATCCGAGGTCCATTTAACCCCATCAGATCAGGATTTTGACATAACCTCAAAAGACCAATATGGCGGACACATTTTTGAAAAGTTCATTGGATTCGCTTCAAATTTGTTACTCGGGAGTTTTTGGGGTCGCTGATTACGAATTTGAAGTCTGATTTCAAAAATTCAAAATGGCGGATCCAATATGGCGGACACGTTTTTGAAAAATTCATCGGATTCGCTTGAAATTCGTTACTCGGGGGTTTTTGGGGTCGCTGATTACGAATTTGAAGTCAGATTTCAAAAATTCAAAATGGCGCATCCAATATGTATGTGTCAGCCATATTGGATCCGCCATTTTGAATTTTGAAAAACCGACATCAGATTCGTAATCAGCGACCCCAAAAACCCCAGAGTAACGAATTTCAAGCGAATCCGATGAAGTTTTCAAAAACGTGTCCGCCATATTGGATCCGCTATTTTGAATTTTTGAAATCAGACTTCAAATTCGTAATCAGCGACCCCAAAAACCCCCAAGTAACGAATTTGAAGCGAATCCAATGAACTTTTCAAAAATGTGTCCGCCATATTGGTTTTTTGAGGTTATGTCAAAATCCTGATCTGATGAGGTTAAATGGACCTCGGATTCGGATTCAGCGACCCAAAAAACATAAAGTCTACATAGTGAGACCCCCAGATCAGAACTTTTTTTTTTTTTTGTGTGGCTGTGTAATAACTGATCCAAACGATACCAACATTTTTTAATCCAAATGGTACAACAAGTTTATTGTAGGAAAATTTTGTAATACGAATATTAATAAAGTTTCGAATTTCAATGGTATCAATAATTTTAGATCTGACTAGTAATAACAAGAACAAATTTAAATGGTACCAACAATTTTTACTCTAACTTGTACTCACAGTGGCTAATCCAAACGGTACCAACTTTTTTTAATCCAAATGGTACCTATACAAGTTGAAATCCAAATGCTACCAGCATTTTTCATCAGAATGGTTCTAAAATTTCTAATTTAAATAGTGCTACCAATTTAGAACTATTAATGTTCAACTTTTAAGAAGTATAGCATCTTTCAGGAATCATTAAGAATCCAGGATGTACAATTCCCAACGATTATAAATGGTACAATTCATTTTTATCATAAATCATTTGTCCATACCCAATGGGAAATGCCAGTGTAGTGCCGATGTTCACCACTGGCTTAGTACTCAGACGATTGTTCGGCGTAGTCTAGCCGAGCCTCGACAATTAGTGCTGGCGCAGTACAGAATTTTTGATTCGCCAAAGCTTGGACAAGCCACGGCGGCAAGTGCTGGCTGAGTATAGAAAAATTGTTCACGACGCTCTTTGCCAACATTGCTTTTTTGACATAAACTTGAAAAAACTTATAAAAAAGTTTATGAATGTTTATAAATATAAATTTATTGAAAAAAATTAATATTTTACTTTTCAGTTGTTCATTTTTTATTTTTATTAAATTTAATAATAATAATTTAACATAATTGTCTAATTTTGTAAATAATAAATTATTTAAACAAATAAAAATTATAAACAAAATTTAAACTTTAATCTCAATAATAATTTGGTTCCTATTAAAATACTATTATACTTGTTACTATGAATAAAAAATTATTAAAAAATTACCACGTGATTTAAGAATTACGTAAAATGTTAAATGCAATAAGTAAAGTAATTTAATTTAATTTATTTTATTTCAATTTATTATTTCTAACGTATCCCTATTTTTT